CCAGCCCCCCACGGACCCCTCCAATCCCCCCAGCCCTCCATGGTGCCCTCCAGCCCTACCTCTCTCTCCGGGCAGCCCTGCAGGGAAGATGAGGAGGGGCTGCTGCAGGGCCAGCTTGGGGCAGGACCCCTGGGGATGGGGTCCGGCCACCCCTGCATGGTCGGGGGCACCGGGGGGAGCTGAGCCTTACCGGGGGGGCCCACGGGACCCTGCTCTCCGTCCTTGCCCGGGGGCCCAGCAGGGCCAGGAGGGCCAGTCTCTCCCACGGGGCCAGCAGGTCCAGGGGGGCCTGGGGGGCCTTCAGGGAGGAGGGCGTTAGGGGGGTGCCCCACGCGGGATGTCCCCTTGTCCCCACACACTGCAACCCCACAGCCGGGATCCTCCTGCGGTCCTGTGCCCCACACCACAGCATCACCCGGCCAAGGCCCTACCTCCCCACACCCACTGCAGCGCCCCTGGTGACCCCCTGTCCCCATATCCCCACATCCCCTTGTCCCCTCGTGTCCCCACACCCGTTGCAGCACCCCCTGGTGACCCCCTCTCCAGCCGCTCCTCGCTCTCCGCCTGTCGCGCCGCCGACGCCGCCGCCGCCTGGTCCAGCTCGGCCACCACGCGGTCGGTGGCGGCGCTCAGCTGGCGCTGCCGGGCGTCCTGCTCCTCCAGCGCGTCCTGCAGCCCCTCCACCGTGGCGTTCAGCCCGCTCAGGGCCGCCAGCGCCGCCGTCAGCTGCCCCCGCAGCACCCGCAGCTCCGACGGCGACGGGCCCCCGAAGACGCCGAAGCCCTCGAGCGGCGCCTCCGGCTCCTCGGGGCCGGGCGGGAGCGGCTCGGGCTCCCGGGGGGGCGGCGAGGCGCAGGGCCGGGCGCAGGGGTCACCGCCCAGCTCCTCCAGGGCCGCCTCCAGCCGCCCGGTCCGGTTGCGGAGCTGCTCCAGCTCCTCGGCCAGCGCCTCGCCCCCCAGCGCGCCCAGGGTCCCGGCCAGCCCGTCCTCCCAGAGCCCCTCGGTGTCCCCGGCCGGCACCGGCAGCCCCTCCAGCCGCCGCTCCAGCTCGGCCAGGCGGCGGAGCACGTCCGGGGACGGGGGAGCGGCCGGGGCGGGCGCCAGGCGGCTGCTCAGGCTGCTGATGTGCCTCTGCACCGACTCCACCGCATCCCTGTTGCGCTTGTCCACCGAGCCCACCAGCTTCTCCAGCGCCCGCATCCGCTCCCGGTCCTCGGCCGCCTGCCGCCGCAGCCCCTCGGTGCCGGTGGTGCAGGCGGCGCACAGCTCCTGCAGCCGCTGCTCCAGCTCGTACAGCGCCGCCGTGCCCGCGCCCCCCGGAGCCCCTGGGCCGTCGCGGCCGCCCTCGGTGCGGGGCAGGCGGGTCTCCAGCTCCTCCAGGCGCCGCTGGAGGTGGCTCAGCGCCTCCCGCACCTCGGCAGGGGCGGCCGCGTCCGCCGGCTGCTCGGGCCCGGGCTGCCCCTCCACAGCCGCCCGCGGCGGCTCCTGCCCGGCCCGCAGCTCCTCCAGCTGCTCGCTCAGCCGCCGCACCTGCTCCTCCAGCCGCCGCACCTTCTCCGGGTCCCCGCCGCCTGCCGCGCACCGCCGGGGTCAGGGACAGGGCAGGGCAGGGACAGGGCAGGGACAGGGACAGGAGCAGGGACAGGGACAGGGCAGGGACAGGGAGAGGGAGAGGGAGAGGGAGAGGGAGAGGGGAGAGGGAGAGGGAGAGGGAGAGGGAGAGGGACAGGGACAGGGACAGGGCAGGGACAGGGACAAGGGACAAGGGACAGGGCAGCGGCAGGATCAGGATCAGCGGCAGAGGCAGGGGCAGGGGCAGGGTCAGGGCAGGGGCAGGAGCAGGGGCAGGGACAGAGGCAGGGGAAATGGCAGGATCAGGGACAGGGGTAGGGGCAGGGCAGGGACAGGAACAGGGACAGGGACAGGAGCAGGGTCGGGACAGGGACAGGGACAGGGGCAGGGCAGGGCAGGGACAGGGCAGAGGCAGGGGCAGGGTCATGGCCACGCGCAGCGCGTTCCCCTCCCCGCATTCCCGCCCCAGCACTACCTTCGCCCCCCAGGCCACTGAGGGGGTTGCCGAAGCCGGAGAGCGTGGGGCGGCCGGGCCGGGGCGGGGGGCGGCCGGTGGGCTGGGGGGATGCTGGCGCGGGCCCCTCGCTGCAGTCCGGCCCCGAGTAGCCCTGGCAGCAGCGCCAGGCCAGCTCGGACACCGTGCGCTGGGACACCTTGTAGCGGGGCCGCAGGAAGCTGCGGTACCTGCAGGGGCAGGGGACGGGCTGGGGGGACGCCGGGAGGGGCGGGGGGCGGGCCCCCGGAACCGGGGGAGGACCGGC